GGCCGAACATGCAGAGCATGTTCGGCCGACCCGAAGCCACCCGATGTACGGCTGATTTCAGCCGTACCAGCCTGAAGTGAATAGCCGAACAGCGTTCGGCTCACTTCGCTTTAGGTCGGTCATTCACTCGGCTGCCTACGGCAGCTTAGTGAATAGACCCCAAAGCATTTTCTGCTTAGGCCAAAAAGTTTCATTTTGTTTTATCATACTGGAGAACTTTTTTTCCATATGTTGTTCTGTCTCAAATTCCAAACGACCTGATATGGGGTTGGTTTTTAGCAATGGCTTTATTCTCATCCATTCAAGTTATACATGTTCAGGGTTATAAATGTCCCATGGATCTTGGCTAAGGATCTTTACAGTGCTTTCAGAGTTGCAGTCAGTTTTGATTGATAGTCTTCTCTAGCTGGAGTCATCGTTGTGTCATATTCTTTCAGTTTTTAACAATGCAGAAAACAATGTTCAAATTTTGATATTTTTTGTAGCCCAGCTGTGTTTTTTGTTCTCAGTAGAGTACAAATAAAGTATAAATGCAGCTCGCAGTGGGAGGAGTTCAGCAACAAAGGCAGTGTTGTCAATCCAGGAAGCAGTGCACAGGTCTAGGTGTGGGCAGGTGCTGATTGCCAAGGTTTGTTAATGCTGATAGCCTCCACCCCTGCAATATGTATTTCATCCAACTGTAGTGCAAGTAGGCACAAGATACATCAGAGTGGCAACTCTGCACTGAATTAAGGATCATTGCAACATTGTTGCCACACTATCACAGGAAGTTGCAAGAGGTGGACTTCACTGGCAGGATCAACAGGCAATTGTGAGACTTTGTAGGGGGGCTAAGAGAAAACAGTAAGTGCAGATACACTTATAATTAAGTGCCGCAGCACATGTTTTAATGGGAGAGTATAGTTCTATGTTAAGGACCAAATGGCTCCAGTAAATAATTAAGGCCTAGAAATCACAGAAATTTAATTTGGAATAAACTGTTACAATAGCTCATAATGTTTAATACTGAGGTTTGCCTAAGAATGTTTGTGACCTTTTAGAAACCTATCTCTTTGCATTTGTACATAATATGAAGAAGTCCCGGGGGGGCGACAACAAAATAAACGAAAGAAAATGGTGGAAAAATTGAAAAAACTTATGTAAAAACATTTTTAAATAGACCCCTAAATCTTTTTATTACTATAAGGTAGTTTATTATCACAGTGAACATTAGAAATCTTTATAGAATAGCTTTCATTATGCATGACCTTTATTAGCTATGTTTCCCTCTGACTGAGACTTTTTTAAGATGATGTGGCTTGTAATTTAGTTACCATTCTTTTTTTTTTTTCCAGGTACTGTCATCGTGCAGCAGTTAATGGCAGTAATGATAAGTGAGCATGAAACACTTTTCCCCAAAGAAGCTGATGTTCAGATTGATGCTGGACAAGAACTGACCAACAACAACAATGAGCTGAAGAAAAAGATGCTTCTAGGCCAAATACAGAACAAGGAGAATAATAATACAAAGGATATAGCAGTGAGACGTTGCTCCTGGGAGAAGTCCGATTCTCCGCAAAGGTCAAATGTTGACAATGGATCTCCCACTGTACTCTCAGGAAGTAAATCCAGCAGCCCAAGGAACAGCATTCACAAACTGGATGTAACCCGAAGTCCACCGCTAATGGTGAAAAAAAATCCGGCTTTTAACAAGGGTAGTGGGATTGTCACCAATGGTTCTTTCAGCAGCTCTGCAGAAGTCCATGACAAACACCATTCTTTGCCCAATGGTACCTTACAGGCTAGAAGAGCCTCTTCTCTCAAAAGTTCAGGAACCAAAATGGGTACTCACAGTGTACAGAATGGTGCTGTAAAAATGGGTGTGTCCAGTACAGACCCAATGAGCAATGCTTTGAACAGTCGGACCACAAGCTGGCTGCCCAATGGATATATCACATTAAGAGATAACAAACAAAAAGACTCTGCAGGTGAATCATTGCAGCAGCACAGATTGTCCACGTATGATAATGTTCACCAGCAGTTTATGATGAACTCTGATGATAAGCAAAGTGTGGATAGTGCAACGTGGTCCACATCATCATGTGAAATCTCTCTCCCTGAGAACTCCAACTCCTGCCGCTCCTCCACAACAACTTGTCCAGAGCAGGATTTTTATGGTGGGAACTTTGAAGACCCTGTTTTAGATGGGCCAGTCACTGAGGATATTACTAATGCAACAGACTTTGAGAGCAAATTTGACAGGAGAAGTGCTGGGGGTCACAGCAGCAGGGCTACCAGCAGCAGTGACAACAGTGAGACTTTTGTAGTGAGCAACTCAAGCAACCACAGTGCACTTCACAGCCTTGTGTCCAGTTTAAAACAGGAAATGTCAAAACAGAAAATGGAGTATGAGACCAGAATAAAAAGGTATCGTTACTATTATTGACATCATTGTATATACTATGTATTCTACATTCTTGTTGCAAAACTGTATTTAAATGAACAAGGTTTTGCCCAGGTCCTTACTATTATTGGCATCATTGTATATACTATGTATTCTACATTCTTGTTGCAAAACTGTATTTAAATGAACAAGGTTTTGCCCAGGTCCTTACTATTATTGGCATCATTGTATATACTATGTATTCTACATTCTTGTTGCAAAACTTTATTAAAATGAACATGGTTTTGCCCAGGTCCTTATGGATTGTCAAAGTGAACCTTTGCTTTGTCAATGCAGGACAAAGCAATATGAGTACATTTAAGCTGGCCCCCACATTATCTTATACTTACCCTTCAATCCCCAGCCTCTCCGTTTGTCACCAGGAGCAGTGATGGTATCTAATCAGCCAATTGTGAAGCATATATCAAAAGTACTAGAATGTTTTCTTCACTTCTGGCACAGTATGTATTTGCAGGCAAGCACAGATAAGTACTGTATGTGCAGGCAGGGCACCAGACACAAATATCTGTAAAAAAAAATAAGTCAAGGCAACTGGACTTGCTGTATTTTTCTTGAAGACTGGTCATCCAACCAGCTTTTTCAATTCAGAATGACTTGTACAAAAATTCTCTGATGAATAAATATGGTGAATGTTAAAGCTTCACATACATATTCCGACCAGACACAAAGGTAATCTGTTGCCTTTGCCCTGCATGGGCAAAGCATAGATGTACTTTAAGTTGGTTCCTGGAAACTGTCTCTGGGTTCCACATATAGATTCAGAATTTTGTACCAAGATAGCCACCAAAGAAGCTAGTTTGCAGTCAAGATGTTACACTTTTATTATCCAACTCAATTGTTTGCAGATGCAAAGACCTAGTTTTCTTTGTCAGGTATACAACAATCTGAGATCAGACTTCACCCAAATCCTAAAAAGTGTGAAAAGCCCCTTGTCTTCTCTGCACCACCATCTTAGGTACTGGCACATCTTAGTCTGACCCTACCATTGCCCTGCATGTGCACCTAGCACACAAGTGGTAATAATTTGGTTTACATGTTGCCATAGTAAAGGCAACATGAGCAGCGCCAATAGCACAGAGTGTACAGTATCATTTTTATGGTAGTGTGTAAACCAAATGACTCCCTGCTAGAGCAGTGAGTTTGCCATCAATCCCATGCATGGGCACTCAGCACTCCAGTCGTATTATTTATGCATTGCAATTATGTCAACTTGTAAATAAAAGTATTCCAGCTAGAGAAATGGATGTGCATGCTTAGGACTGATAGTGTAATCATTGCTGTTACTATGGCAACTCTTAAAATTAAATATATTTCAGCTACTGCATTGGGTGTGACACAGTCCCACGCATGCACACCCAGCATTCTAGCGGAATGTACCTGCAGTATAAACCATGGAAATCCCCTGCATGCGTGTGCATGTTCAGAATTTATACTAGCAACACCATTCTTGTCTAGGGGAGAAATGATGAAGCAAAGAGCAACATAAAAACGTTATTTGTAAAAAAAAAAATGCAAAAAATTGTTTGCAATTTATAGAAGGGATGGGGATAAACCAGTGAGATTACCCATGTGAAAAATAAGGGCACACCTTCGTGGAGTGGAATAAATAAAAATCTCTCTAGAGACGCCCGATCACTTGCATTAGCAGCAACTGTCACTGCCGTTGCCGGTCCCAAGATCCACTGTGCCCGGTGCGGCTCGGAACGGCATTCTGCTGTCACTCTCCAGCTTCAGAAGCTGGGGAGAAGCTGGTGAAGTAGATCTCTGCTTCATCAGCTTCTCTGGGGGGTCCCTAGGTGAGATTAGGGGTCTTGGAGACCCCTGATGTCTCCATAAAGTGGACCTGTCATGTAAATTGGCTATCACATAGGGGACTTCTTAGTCCCCTATGTGATAGCAATAAAGTTAAGTGTAATTTTTTTTTTTTTAAAGGAGTAATACAAAAATGAAGACCCCCTGCCCCCCACATACACACGCAAACATGCCTCGGGTGCACCTAGGTGCGAAAGCAAAAACATTATTTTTTTTCTAAATTTGCAGTACTTTTTTCATTATATAGTAAAAAATTAAAACCCCAGAGGTGATTATATACCTCCAAAAGAAAGCTATGTGTCCCTAAAAATTTTTAACATACATTGCAAGGCTATAGTCCGGTCATGTTGACTGGTGAAATTTTTGACTGACTGGTGAGACACCCTAAAATTTTTCAAGCCCTGTATATAGTTTAACGTACACTATATAAGACCATTTGAAGAGTACTGGACTTGTTGAGCTGGAAAGCATATCAGTACGTGCCTTTTATTAACTAAGGATGTATTTCTCCACAGCTTGGAACAAAGAAATCTATCTCTGGAGACAGAAGTAGTAGCCGTGCATGAGGAACTGGAGCAAGAAAGAAAGAAATACACGATGGTGGAAATTAAAATGAGGAATGCAGAACGTGCAAAAGAGGATGCTGAGAAAAGAAACGACATGTTGCAGAAGGAGATGGAACAGTTTTTCTCAACTTTTGGTGACCTCACAGTGGAACCGCGTAGGCCAGAGAGAGGGAACACAATATGGATCCAGTAAAGTGGGCCAAAGTACGTTGGACAGTGAGAAGGAGCCGTAGTGTTTTCACACGGATGGTCTTCAGGTGGCTGGTCACCTGACCAAGATTAGCACTCATTTTCTAGGTACCATATAGGGAGGGGGCAAATAAAATGAATCTGCTACATCCACAGTATCTGCCTAACCAAGTCTGTTCTATTATTACATGATCCATATTGCTACTGTCAAGTGTTACAACTGGATATGTGTACATAGATTATAAAAAAAAGTGTTATGTTTAAAACAGAATTGTATTCCAAGAATAATAATAATGCAAGTATTGTATTTAAAACAGCAAATTGATATGTTGTTGCAGTAAAGCTTTATATGAAGTCAATATACAGTATATCCTTGCACTTAAAATGTAATACAATATTTTTGCGCATTGTGCTATCATGGGCTTATTTTGTATATTACTTGTCTATATTCCCATGTTGACAGGGAATGGAAATAAAAAAAACAAAAACAATATAGGATGATACTTGTGGCTTTTGATGTTTGTGCCAACCACCTTGCCTATGACCAAAAGAAAGTGTACAGAATTTTATAAAGCATTGCCACGAGTTTGAATATGTCTGGCTCTTTCTTTTTCTACAAAATGTCATTTTTGTATGTAATAAACACAATGCTTTGTCAATGAAGGGGGATGTTTACACCCAAAATTGGTAACACTTGGCATTCTGATTGCAGGAATTGTCATTTGGATTCCTTTCTTTATAAAAAGGCAATATGTAGAAGAAAAAAGAGACATATGAAAGTTTGTGCTGTCAGCAAAAATATAACGCAGTTCAAGCACAGTTAGTGGTCTTACAAAATCTTTATGTATTTCACTTTTGCCTCTTTTGGAGTTATCACAAGAGATTTTGTGGGCAAAGCTTAAAGTGACACTAAACTCAGGAGTTAAATCTTAAAAATGCATTAAAGCACCCTAACTATTAAGAAAAATATCTTATTTGTGTATCACTTGGCTGTAGATCCTCAAATCATTTCTGAATTCATGCTGACACTGTCCTCCCTTCTGGAGAGTGGCTACTTTTGATCCCCATTGTCTCTGTGTGTGTTGTAATGTAGTCACCTTTCCAAGCTCACTCCTGTGATGGACTAAAATTTAAATACAAATTAGTAAACTAAGCATGAGATTGTAGTCCAACACAGAATTCAGAGTGGAGCAGTGGCTACTTTACAACACACACAGGGACCATGGGGAACAAAAGTAGCCACCCTCCAGAAGGAAGGACAGTGTCAGCACCAATTCAGAGATGATTTGAGGACCTACAGCTGAGTGATGCACAAATAAACTACAAATTTGTTAAGGTATTTGAATGCATTTTTAAGGTATAACTCTTGAGTTTAGTGTCACTTTACATTTCCCTGCTATGTGTCTGCACTGTCTTCTGGTGCCACCTACTTGTGAAGGTGTGACCATTCATAAAAAAGTCTTGCTGACTCTGAGGATTGTGGGAGATGAATCCTGCCAGGTTAATTACACAGAGGAGTTGGAAGTAGTCTGAAAGTTATATTTGCCTGGAAAAATTGTGTGCTGAAGATCTGTTGTAAGCTCATAAATGAGCCTAATATCAAATTATAATTACATTTATATTACCAGTAGCTGTATCCTCTTCAGGTAGACATTTTGCTGGCCATCACACACCCTATAGTGTTCAATATGTCCTCTTAAATAACCTGTACAAAACTCTATACCTAATTTATAGAAAATTGGAGGGGTGGATTTGTTGCTCTTAATAAGCATTTAGAGTCTGCCTTTTATTTTTCTAGTTCTAGTCCAAAACGAACAGCTAAAGCTATCAGCAATTCCTATCCTTTTCCTTTCTGCTGAAACTGTGTGCAAACATATTACAGTCATAACTTTGATGAAACCAATGCACTAGAATTTAGGTGGCATCATAAAGGTAAACATTTCTCCCCCAATGCTGGTTGAACCTGAGAAATGCCAACTCACACATTAGTAAAACTACAAGAATTGCCACTTTTCTGAATCATTTTAGGTTTTACAGGAGTACATTTGTCACAAACGATGTTTGAGCCCTTTAAATCACAATTTTATGGAGTGTTAACATACACACAGCATTGTGTTTTGCATTAGGGAAAACAGTCATTGTAAAGCGCTGTCTATCCACCGCAACCCATCAGCATCGATTTTTTTTCAACACAGTGCACCACAATGCACATAGTTCGCTTGTGTGCTTTGTGATGCTCTAAAATGCATATGTGCTCTGCTGCCTTGTGTGTGTGAGGGTGCTATTCAATAAAAATAGCACCGCAACGCACAGACAAGCATTAATGTGCATTGTGGTATCGCTCAGTACAACATGCCTTTTACCACACCTACTGCAACACAATAGTTTATATTACTCTAAGGCTTAGTAATTAAGATTTTGATATAACAAACAACACACATATACATTTCTATATAGTTTAGTAAAAAATAGTTTAAACAATCAATTTAACTTTTGTTATTTTTTACTTTTAAGATAATGACACCTTACCTATGCTGTTTTTACAGGGTAATTATAATAAGGAATTACAGTCAACTAGGTTGAATTACTACATTTTCAGAAAGTTCACTGAACCCAGAAAAAAAAAAAACAATCTTGTGTAGTGAAATTAAGGAGAAAATAATTTTTCCTGCACATAATTGTATGCATGATTGAGCGAAAACAGCTGAATTGGGCTAAACACTCATTTTGTAAATCATCTTGAAGAGGTGTGGGTGTCACCTACTCCACTTTATGAAAATGAATACTTCAAAAGAGAATTGTTATAGAATGCAATGTATCCTAATCAATGACATTTCACAGAACATCAGAAGGAGATTTGCTGACACTGCTGAGACTGTAAAAGTATTGGAAAAATAGTTCTTAAAACTTCAGTCAACAGATAGTTTTCAGATTGAAGAAATGCAACTCCCTAGAAGTGGTTGTTCTACGAAGATCAACCCGATGCCACCCAATGTACGGCTGATTTCAGCCGTACCAGCCTGAAGTGAATAGCCGAACAGCGTTCGGCTCACTTCACTTCAGGTCGGTCTTTCACTCGGCTTCCTACAGTATACTGGGTTGGACCAAAATATCTGCTACACAGGTCTAGTCAACACTCAGATTGACTAGACCTATGACTAAGCCGACCAATTTAACTGGCTCCCAAAAGAAAGCTTGAATTAGAAATGTTCAATAAATATTATTAAAGAGGCACTTCACCCAGTCTTAAAATAGCACTTAAAATGGTTACATCACAATAACAAAATACATACTAACCCTTCGATGCAGTTCACGATTTCTTGGATTCTTCTGAAACCTTTCTGCTTCTTTGCCTCCATGCCAACATTTTCTGGCAGGGCATATTGTGATCCCGGGGTGATTTCCTTATTTGCTAAGCCAGCCCCTATGAGGACACGCTGAACATTCTGCTCATGCACACCTTCCTCTCTAGCCAGGAATTTATTTAGTTGCCATAGTATCAGCAATGTAAGTGCAAGGTTGTTTTTTTATGCTATGGCAACATGTAAACAAAACAGAAGCCAATGATGTAGCCACTGTCAGGCAAGAAAAAAGAAACTATTGTGATAAGGTGCCAGAAGACACTGGGATATATGATGTTTATATCCAAGGAGTCCGCAGGCAATACAGTCAATATCATTCTCATGTAGGCAAGAAATAAGGAAGTAATGGGGCCTGAACAAGATAAAAGGTATTGGCAAAAAAATAAATATAAAAGCTTATATGTGATTTTGTCAACTGAGCGGGAAACTGTAGGATGAGCAATGTAGAAAAAGAGGTGGAAGGTCTGGGGTAGAGGGGATGGTCTGTGGTGATTTCAATTACATTCTACATACTAGTATATGCACAGTGTATGGTGCTATATTCAAGGCAAGCCTCTGGCGATAACAGTCACAGTCGTCAGTGAGCTCATTTCAGCTCTCAACCAAATTTTCAAGTCCTCAAATGGCTGGTGTTATACACTGAGTGGCCAGATAATTATGACCACCTGATGTTTGTAGGCAAATTAGCTATAATTTTGCGCTGAAGTTGCTAGAGGGCCAGACCATTATAAATAGGGAAGCAGGTGGTTTATCACGACAGTAGAAGTGATTTTTTTCTGAAGATATGGGTAAACAACGCGATTTAACAGCCTTTGAACGTGGGATGATTGTTGGCGCTCGGAGCCATGGAGCGAGTATCAGCAAAACAGCAGAATTCGTTAAATGTTCAAGAGCAGCTGTTGTTAAAGTGTTTAAAGACTGGACTGTCAGCCGAAAATCTGGGTCTGAATGTGCGAATTGTGTCCGTCAGCGTCTAGTCAATGTTAGGGCAGAACAGAGAGTGGCAAGACTGGTACAAGACAACAGAAGGGCAACAGTGCAGTGTCAGATTCCTCGCATCACCTTTCAACATCTCGTGGAGTCACGAGGCGGCCTAACTAAGTTATCTCGTGGAGTCATCTCGTGGCCCAACAAAGTACTGATGGGGTGGTCATAATAATCTGGCCACTCAGTGTAGGTGATGACATGTGCAGCACCATGGCGACTGCAGATCTAAATGGAGGCTAAGATGGCACATTCCTTGGAGGATATGTGGCTTTAATAACACTTTAAAGAACACATTTGACTGACACTACTGCCTGTAAAGGAGGGAAATTCCACCAGTTGCTCAATTTAAAGGCCAATTTCAGCCAAAACATGTTTTTCATGTTGGAATAGGGTAGGTTTAGAACTTGTCAGGTTTTCAATTCTTTCTGTGTGTAAGTGACCCTGTCAGGGTAAAAAAAAAATCCCAAAATGTTCTCCACAAGTGAGGAGCTCTCACTCACTCACCTTCATGGTAGTCTGTGTCTCCTACCTTCCCTTTCTTACCTTCCCTTTCTTCTCTTTCTATCAGTCTCTTCAGCATTTGACACATCCAGGAATGGCAGATGACTTTGTTCCCTGCCATGGTCTTCTCTGGTAGGGTATCTTTATTTGGATTTTGTTACCCTGACAGGGTCACTTTGAATGCTGTATAAGTCCCCATAGAGGACATTTCTTAAAGTCTCTTTCTTTACTGTCTGACACCTATCACCCGGACCCAAAGTGATGGCCATTCTCCTTCATTGGGAGAGACAGCTATAAAACCATGACAAAGGTTCCAGCCTTAAGTTAAAAGAAAAGTCTGCTGGATGTAATTTTAAGGATTCACATACACATTCATCAGTGTCATTGATTGTTTAATTTAGATATGTAAAATGCTGTCCAAAAGTGCCTTTAGTTTTTCACAATTCAATCAAACAAAAAAAGGCAATTAAAGGCACTTTTGTACTCTTGCACCTTTTGGTTTGTCAACCCCTTCTTTAAACATGTGAGGATGCCTAGGCATGCTTGTGCCTACAGCCTCATAGCTGTTTATCTGCAGTGTGAAATCCAAGGCACTGTTGCCACTGTTAGTTTCAGGAGATTGGGAGTGAGATCCACTCACCATGACACTACTGTGCTGCTTACTGTTCCTCCTGCAAAACTCTCTATGATGAAGAAAAATCCTGCCTTTACCAATATGGTAATCCCCATAAACAAA